CTAGTGGCAAGCAGCTCCACTGCAATCCCAGAGGCACACGGTTTGAATCCACCAGATGCTCTGCTGTAGTAGGAGGGACAGTCTCCTCCTGTACCAGTCAGATCTGATTTGACGGTACACACACAGAAAACAAAAAACAAACAAACAAACAAAAAACAAAAACAAAAAAACGAAGGAATTTGAAGGGAAATTGGGGTAAACAGAAGCATTCAGAAGTATGTCCTGGCTTGTTTTTTGGTTGGTGTTTTGTTGGTTTGTTTTTTTTTTTTACAAGAAGATAGTATTTCTGAGATGCAAAGCATTAGTGCCCTCCTAATGAGGTAGAACAGTCAGCATTTGTCCTGGTGAAGGGGGGTGGTGGGGTGCCTCTGAGTGGGTGACCCCCAGTCTGAGCTGCAGTTCCCTGCACGGTCCCCTCAGTGGCTGCCATGCTGGAGCCACTGCTGCAGTCACTGTGACACTTCATCCCACTGAGGGTCGTAATAGACATGAGGGCACTCTTTCCCACCTTAGGGCTGTTCTGCAGACGGTGAGGGTCCTTATCTGCAGGATCTCCATGGAGGCACTTGACCTGGAGCCCTTGTTTCTTTTCCAGGTCAGCTTCTCAAGTTAGCATTGAGGATTGATTGCAAAGGTCAGAATTAAGTTCCCACACCTGCTATTGAGTTACCCCTGTTATAACCATAAGGAGCTCCAGAGTACAGCAGGTTAAGTGCTGGGCTGCTGACCCAAAGGTTGGTGGTTTGAATCCACCAGCTGTTGCTCCATGGGAGAGAAGCAAAATTGCCTCCTACGATGAGGGTCTGTGGCCTTGGAAACCAGTGGGGGATCTCTGAATGTCAGAAACTGCTTGATGGTCGTGGTTGTTGTTGTGTGACATCCAGTCAGAACCGACCCATAGGTGACCCTTCGGGTGGTTTTCAGGGTTTTCACATGGGAGAAGATTGCCCATCCTTCTCTTGCAGAACAGCGGGTGAATTAGAACCATTCAGCAGGACGGGTTCATGTGCCTAACACTGGCCTAGCCAGTGACACTGAACCACAGAATTTAAGTGATTGTGAATGATTAAACTGGGAAGACTGAAAACAGAATTCAGCAGGGAAACAGGCAGAGTTGAGATGATCCCACCAGACTGAAATCTATCAGAAAGGAAGCTGCGGGTGACAGAGGGTTCTGGAGAGAAGAGACTGTTCAGGAGCATTCCTTAGAGGCCGGAGGAAGCTACAGAGTACAGGATACCGGGGTCTCTTCACAGAAGGCAGTGTGAGCTGGAGGGCACAGCACCCAGGCTGGGAGCTGGCTCAGGGGCAAGGGCAGGGAGGGTGGAAGTGAGGAGATGAGTCAGGGAGTGGCTGCCGTCCTCCAGGTAAAGGCATTGCACTGCAAACCCAAAGATAGGCAACTCAAGACCTGCTCTGTGGGAGAAAGACCAGTAGTCCCCACCAGTATGATTCACAGCTTCTGAAAGTGGTCGGAGGTCACCTGTGAGTGGGCACATACACCAGCAGGATTGGAAAGGGGTGGCATCAGGACACAAGCTGAAGATACTGTCACAAGGGCATCGTGTCCTGTTGCTGAGAACCACACAAACTAAGGTTAGCGAATTGGAGGAAGGCCTTTGGCTTCCATGATAAAGCAGTTGCAGTCAGAGAGGAGAAGCTGGAGCCTGCAGTGACTTGGAGCAAGACGGCCGTGACAGAGTACAGACTGTGACTATAAGGGATCCTTTTGGCAGAATTTGTTGTGAGATTTAACAAGAAAACAGAGTAGGAGCCAGAAAGAACCTTTTCTGCAAGAAGCAAACAGCATTACAATAAAGAGACATCAGATATATTCTTAAAAACAAGGAACTTAGGAGGCCTGGATCAAAGGCATCTGCTAAAAACAATATAATCACAACTGGGAGTCCTGGAAGAGATTAAAAAAGGAAATAAGATTACAAAAAAGTAGCCTTTAACAAATAGAGCAATACCTGTTACTGCTTAGATGAATTCAGGATTCAGAACCAGGCCAACTATTCACCCACCACTGAATGGATTGAGAAATTGTGGTACATTCACATAATGGAATATTACACAGCACTCAGGAGCAATGATTTTGGAAAAATACTACATTAAGCTGGGAGAGACTGGAGAGCACTATGCTGAATGAACTAACTCAGTCTCAGAAGGACAAATACAACGTAAGAGCTTTATTGTAAAAAGAGAAGGATAACTAGTAAAACATGTCTAGGGGCTCAGGGAGGAAGAGAGTGAGAGCACAGGGGTGAGGACGGGTAGGGGGAAATCACAGGTCACACAACTTGGTGGGTGTAGGAAAGGGGGTAAAGGAAATGGGAAAGATCCACAGGAACCAGAAAAGGCCGGGTGACGCTGGAGGGGGATACATTGTTATTTTTACTACATGCCTCTGGAAACTTTCTGAACTTTGAGAAACGATAGTTCTAGAAAGGCTTCAGGTCTTTTGTTCATAGGGTCGCTATGAGTCCTGCTTGACTCGATGGCAATCAACAACAAAAACAGTACCAGGGAGAAGTACCACTTTCGGGCACTGTTCCTGTTCAGAGCACTGCCTTAAATAGACCCCACGGGAGATCCCCCGCTGCACATGCCGGGCATCTCTGCTTCCGGTGCATGTTTTTATCGTGGCAGCCTCGTCTCAAATGCCCGTTTGACCATGTAAATCTCTTTGAGATTTTACAGTCTCGTAAAAATCTGCATGGCGTTTAGAAACTCTTCTGTCCTTTGCTTTGCTAACTCCAGTTATTACCTGTGCTCCCCAAAACCAACTCGGGCTGTCAGTCCACTGTCTTGGCAGCCGCTCTGCAGTGATAACAGATCTGACAGATAATTACTCATCAGGTCATAAAATGAGTCCCCGAGGAGAGAATTCCCCCTGGATGAAGAGGAGCGGTGATAAGTAACCTGGATGATACCACGCCACCTTCACTGCCTTCCACCTTCTTCTTCCTCTCTCTCCCACCCAGTCTTTCTGTCTCCTCCCTCTCCGTCACACCTTTTTTTCTCTTCTGTTTGAACTCTCATTGGTTTTTCATCTTCTTTTCTTGTTCTTCTTTCTTTCCTTGTCAAAACTCCTTAAGAATCACAATCTTGTATATCTTTGAAGATATGTTGTCAAATGATAGGAATGAAGGAGACATGATCCTGCTTCTGAAAAGGTGCATTCTTCAGAGGGAACGATAGAGGAAGTAAGAGCATTGACCTTATGTAAAGGAAGTGTTCAGATGTTGCAGTAAGGAAGGTCTATAGAGGAAGGAAGGGCACTGACCGTAGGTAAAGGAAGTGTACCAATATTGCAATAAGGAAGGTCTAGCCTGGCCACCTGTGCTCGGCCTGCCATGCTGTCTTCCCTGTTCTCTGATTCCCCCCACGTGCCAGGAACAGCCTGGGAATCGTATTTGCCCCCTCACTTTCCTATCTGCCCAAGCCCAAGGGCTGCATATTTTACAATATTCAATTTTATTTCTTTTTTCACCTTTTGTTTTTATCTCCAGGAAGGTTTTCGGATCAAATTGTTATTCCATGCAGTCATTCATAGATAATTTATTTTAGAACACTAATTGTCATTGACTGACGTATGTAGTTTATTGATGACAATGTCTTGTCAGCCCTTGATTGTATATTGCCTTTCTCTTCACCAGCTTATTTATTTGTTCATTCATTTTTCCTCCTCTCTCATAGGAGTAGGTTAATATGGTATATTTCTCCGATTCAAGGTAGAGATTTGAATAGCATGTTATTTGGAATGAATTGTTCTTTTTCTAATTTCATTCTTAATGTAGATAATCTTTCAGCAGACAAAGTATCTCTTTTTCAGATCCTCTTTATTTTGATTATATTTGTGCCAAGCAGTAAAAGCTTAACAAGTAAAATTGGTGAAATATATTTGTAATTGTGATTTTAATGAAACTTTACAGAAAGGTTGGGTTTTCATTCACTCATTGATATACCTTCTCCTCCCTCCTCCTCCCTTCCCTGTCCCTACATCCCCTATGCAAAGCACCTCTTGTTCCAGATTACAAGCATGAATATAGTTCCTCGTGCATTCCTTTCGGACAGCCCTTCCCCTCTTCTGTCCCTGTGCAGTGTTCATTATCAATTCACTCTTCTCCCATTCTCCACATCCCTGTGATAGCAATCATTTTTTTATAGCAGTGGTGTGATGCAGTATTTGTCCTTTTGTGACTGAGATATTTCACTCAGCATAATGTCTCCAGACTCACTTATGTTGTGTGTTTTACAAGTATGTTTTCAGTGCAGCGTAATAGTCCATTGTGTGAACATACACCATTTTTCCTATTCATTCACCTGTTGATGGGCATTTGGACTGCTTCTATCTCTTTGCTATTGTGAATAATGCAGCAATAAACGTGAGCGTACATGCATTTGTTTGCTTTACAGCTCTGGTTTCTTTAGGTTCTATTTCTAATGGTGGGATGGTCAAGTCAAATTGTGTTTCCATTTCCAGCATTTTGAGAAAACTCCAAAGCACCATCCATAGTTATTGCTGTTCTTGTGTCCTATAGAGTCGGAGCTGACTCATATCTCATCCTCTGGCAACTATTCAGAGACAGTTAATTAAGTAAGAGGAGATTACCCGTCCTTCACAGAGCAGCTGGTGGACACGAACTGCATGCCTTTGGGATTGCAGCACAGCTTCTTGCCACTAGGCCACCAAAGCTTCCTCTTTCCATAGTAGCTGTACCATTTTATAGTCCCACCAACAATTAATGAGAGTTCCAGTCTCTCCAAGTGCTTCTGATGTGGATTCTTTTTAAACAAAGGACTTGGCTGTGACGTTGCTAACCGTGTGGTTAATAAATGAAAACAGTGGTCACTTTCCTCAGGTTCTGGACACGGTGCTTCTTAGCAACCTCAGAGGTTCTTGAGAACGTTCGAGAGGGCAGCGCCTGGTATGAGCTTGGCCTGCACCTGCTTGATGGCCCTTTTCAAGCCGCATCTCTTCTCTCTGTTTGCAGGTGGAAATTGAGAAGCTGGACTTCCATCATTACCTGCCTCTGTTCTTTGATGGACTTTGTGAAATGACATTCCCCTACGAGTTTTTCGCTCGGCAAGGAATCCACGACATGCTGGAACACGGAGGCAACAAGGTCCTTCCTGTCATCCCGCAGCTCATTATCCCGATAAAGAGTAAGTGAGCGGGAAGGCACATCACTCCGCGCGCGGCGAGGCTCTCTGACAACTTGCTAATTAAGCAATAAGGTGTCACAGACTGAGATCATCCCGGCTTTGCTGGGAGTTTTTATAAAGTGACTGATGAGGCCAGACGTCCCGGTCTCCAAATAAATGCTCCATCGTGGATGCTGCCTTGTAGCAGCCCCATAAATAAACAAAAGAGGGTGATGTGGACATAAAGTGCTTCATGGTGGGCCTGGGACACTGAGATGGTATTCCTACATATGTAGCTTTATGTGCCGTAAATGTATCCATGCTTATTGTACCTAAACAAGAGGCAGGATTGGGGAAGCTCCTTAGCCGTAGCCAAATGCTGTGAGGGAATGAGTCTTAAGTGTGGGAGCTCAGGACCATAGTCTAAGAGGACATCAAGGACAACTGGTTAGAGACATCTGTAAAGTCCACAAAGACGTTCTGCATCCTCCATTAGTGAGCACTGACGAGGCTCTTAAACACTTGCCAGAAGCCTTCATGGGAGCAATAACTGGTCTGTCCCAACTGGTCTGGAACAAAGGAGAAGAAAGGCAAGCAAAGGCTCTAATTCCAACGATCTAGTGACCATGTGACCTTCAGTCTCTGTGACGGTGAGGTTAGGACATGATGGGACCTGGCATCTGAAAAGGACCATTCAAGAAGGTCCTGGATGGGGTGGGGGGACGTGGAGCACGACTCAGCATCCGGGGCTGGACAGATAAGAGACCGGCGGAACCCCTGGCACTGGGGCCTTGGCACCCTTCAAGCTGGGAAGCGAAATCATCCCATGACTCAAGTTTCAGAGGAACAATAGGCAGACAGTCCAGGTGTAGGTGATCAAAGACATCAGGGAACAGCACTCCGTGGAACCATCCACCACACAAGATCCAGAGTGTGCCTTTGCCCAGGGTGAAGCTTAGAAGACAGAGTGGCTCAGGATGGAAACTGTGACCCCAGGGTGACGTGGGAGGTGGCTCAGGATGGAAATCATGAGCCCAGGGCGACGTGGGAAGAACGCTGTCAGTGTGAGGGTGGCAGTAGGTGTCGCCAGACATACTGCATATTCTGTGTGTTGTTTGATGAAAAACCAGTTTTCTCTGTAAACTTTCACTCAAACTGAAGCAAAGTAAAAACCTCTTTCATCAAATGCTTTATAGTAATTTCACAAACTTGGAAGCAGGAGCAGCATCCACTTTCTAAACAGCATGCCTCCAGAAACTCTATGAACTTTGGAAAATGTCAATAGTTGTAGAGGGGCTTCAGGCCTTTTTGTTCATAAACTTTCTGTGAGTTGTGCTCAACTCGAAGGCAATCAACAACAACAATTACACAAACATTGAAATGAATGTAGACATTCAGAAATAATTTATTAAGTACAAGTGTCTAAGTTCTTTTTCAGACAACATGCCTAATTTTTTATATAATGATATAAGTGTTATAGACACACAGACCCTCAAAGAGTTGACTCTCTAACATTGTAGACCCTTGAGAGGAAGGCCCTCAACTAGAGGGATTGACACAGTGACCAATGCTCTGCACTTGACCATGACAGAGATCATGAGAATGGCAAAGAACAGAGAAAGGTTCAGATCTGTTGTCCAGAGGGTCACTGTGAGGCATTGTCAACTTGATGGCACCTAACAACCATCTAGTGTAAATAAAATCAGCTTTAGCATCTTTGAGACACTACTAGAATGCATAATTTTTAGAAAATATGCATCTGAAGAAGAGAAAATGTTGTTTTTTTAAGATAAAAAATGTTTTCATTTTTTTCAGTGTTGCACATTTTCTTCCCCTCCTTCCCTCCCCCTCCCTCAGCCTTCCCCAACCCTTGTTCTAGATTAATGTCATACTGATAATGCCTAATCATATGTTCTTTTCAGACAGTTCTTCCCTCCACCTGATCTAAGGCAGTGGTCATCATGTATTCACTCTTTTCCCATTCTCTCCCCAGCTCCCCATGTCTGTCCTATTTTATAACAGTGGTATTACACAGTATTTGAACTTCTATGACTGAGATATTTCACTCAGCATAATTTCCTCCAGGCTTCACCATGTTCTGTAATGTTTTACGAGTTCATTATTTTTCAGTGCTGTGTAATATTCCATTGTGTGAACATACCACAGCTTTTCTATCTGTTCGTTTGTTGATGGGCATTTGGTTTGCTCCTGCTTGCTATTAAGAATAACACAGCAAAAAAACATGGGTGCGTATACTTCTGTTTGAGTCATGGTCCTGGTTTCTTTATATTCCCAGTAGTGGAATTATTGGTTCAAATGATATTTGTGTTTCCACCTTATTGAGAAAGAACCAGCAAGCCAACCGTAGTGGTTATACCATTTTACATTCCCACCAGCAGAAAATAAGAGTTCTAATTTATACACAACCTCATCAACACTGGTTGTTTGCTTCCATGTTGAACTTTGCTATTGTTGCTGGGGGTGAGATATCTCGTGGTGGTTTTGTTTTTTTTCTCTTTGATAGCTAGGGATTTTGAACATTTCTTCATGTGTTTATTTGCCATCTGAATGTCTTCTTTGGTGGAGTGTCTATTCACAACCTGTGCCCATTTTGCAAGTGGCCTGTTTCTTGTTGAGGTGCTGGAGTATTTTAGATATGAGTCCTCTATCAGATATGCCATTGCCAAATATTTTCCCGAGTCTGTAGGTTTCCTTCATACCTTGTTGCAAAAGGTTTTTTGATATGCATAGGGATTTTTTATTATTATTATTAAATTTTATTAGTTTTAATGAACATTTACAGAGATTTTGGGTTTTCATTCATTCATTGTTGCACT